CGCACTAGCAACGTGGCAGGATTTCGTAGGTGCTCCAAAGATAAATAGAAACATTGTGAACAATTGGGATAGGGTGTAACACTTTTTACCATCTTCGTTTCAGAGTTCCTCGGGAATTGTACGGCCCCAAATTTTTTACTTTCCCGACTCAAAACATGATCGGGTGTGCTTGATGAATATCCTGAACCGCACCCCGCTGTTGTGTGCACGTCAGTGATTTGACAATCAGTTCTGATTTTTGGGGTCTGGAATGGTTTTGGTAAGTTTCGGAGCGATTGACTGTGATTTCAGTATGTTCACTACAATTATGCCGCGACAATCTTCAATCCAATGTCCGTGAACCCCTAAAAGTGCCTGCTCTGCCCTCCAAGTAGGGACCAGCAACTTCCAAGCAGGACTGGCAAACAGCCTCAGCTTAGTCCACAATCCAGCTTTCCCATTTTCTTCGTAGAAGCTGTTTCTATTTCGACGTTGCACAATTGCTTCCAGATGGCGATGGCGGGAGGCATGGAGTTGAGGCTAGACGGAGTGGTTGTGAAAGTGCAACGAGCAGAGACGGCGGGAGAGACAAGGGAGATGAGCGCAAGCGCGAAGGAGCGAGCGGAGGAGTTAGGAGCGCAGGTGAAGAGGCAAGGCGAGGCCATGGCAGCTCTGAAGCGAGAGGTGGACGAAATGAGCCGCGCGATGGCGAAGGGGGCGCTGGAGATGATGGGAGAGGTGGGGGGGAACTGTCGAACTTATATGCTATAGTCTTTCTAGGCTGTAGTGGGGTAGACAGTATGGGGTACAGCTTTCTAGGGTTTCATATTTGTACCCAACTCATTTCCTAGTTCACTCATTCCTCATTTCTTCACATGGTATAGAGCAGGTTCCCTCGTGGGAACTTTTCCTTGGGCCCACCACTAAACCTTTTTTTTCTGCCCTGAGCTCGAGTCGCCCCTGACCGAGGCGCGTCCTGTGGGCCGCCCTCCCCTTAGCGGCCCGTCGCGCCGCCCTTAGCGGCCCCACTCACGGCCCCCACTCACGGCCCCGTCGCCACCCTTAGCGGCCCCGACGCCGCCCCTTGCGGCCCGGCCACCCTCTCGCGGCCCCGTCGCCGCCTCCGCGGCCCACCCGCCGCCCTTCGCGGCCGCGTCGCCGCCCTTTCGCGACCCCGTCGCCGCCCTCCAAGCGGCCCCGTCGCCGCCCTCTAGCGGCCCCGCCGCCGCCCTTCAGCGGCCCCGTCGCCGCCCTACAGCGGCCCAGTCGCCGCTCTGTGCGGCCCCTCACCGGCCCTGCCGCCGCCGTCGCTGAGCCGCCGCAGCTGCAGCTGAGCCGCCGCCGAGCCGCCGGGCCGCCGCCGAGCCGCCGCCGAGCCGCCGAGCCGCCGAACCGCCGCCGAGCCGCCGAGCCGCTGCTGAGCCGCCGAGCCGCCGCCGCCGCAGCTGCGGCCCTGTTCCTGCCGGCGCGCCCCGGCCCTCCCCACCCGGAATGGTGAGAGCTTTCCCGAGCAGCGTCTCTGCCACTGCACTACCTCTAGCCTGCCACTCTCACCACTAGACTGCTGCTGTCATGGCTACCCCCAGTGTCCTTACCTTTGATGCTGAGGGTCGGGCTGTTGACTTTGAGGTCTGGGTCGATGACTTGCAGCTTTTCCTACAGTGCGATAGGGCAGACGGTCTTTCCCTTTTCGATCTCACGTCTGGTGCCTCTCCTGCCCCGCCTGCTGATGCTGATGCCACTGTTCGCTCACAGTGGGCCACGCGCGATGCTGCTGCTCGCCTTGCTGTGCGCCGCCACTTACCGACCGCTGAGCGCACGCATTTTAGTCAGTACAAGAGTGCTAAGACCTTGTACGACGCTGTCGTTGCACGCTACTCTTCCCCTGCCACTGCTGGCCTTAACCGCCTCATACTGCCGTACCTCTTCCCTGACCTCGCCGCTTTTCCCACAGTCGCTGACCTCATCACGCACCTTCGCACTAGTGACATTCGCTACCGCGCTGCGCTTCCTGCTGAGTTCTGCGCCAAGAACCCCCCCCCTATGTACATCACCCTCTACTACATAGTCACCCGGCTCCCTGACACCCTTCGCTCGGTCAGGGACCACTTCCTCTCTGTTTTCCCCACCACCCTCACCGTTGACCTCCTCGAGGAGCGCCTCCTAGCAGCAGAAAAGAGTATAGTCGCTGTAGGAGCCTCCCGTGGTGACCCTCGTACCCCTGTCTTTGAGGGGTGCTCCCCCTCCCCCCTCTTGCCCTCTGTTGCCTCTGCTGCTGCGGCCGACCTCGTTGGTCTTGAGTCGGTCGGCGCGGCGTCTGCCCCTAGCGGGAGACGCCGCCCAGGCAAGGGCAAGGGGGGCAAGGGCGCTGGAGGAGCTGGCGGGGGCGGTGGAGGCGGCGGTGGAGGCGGCGGAGGGGGTGGGGGTGGCGGTGGGGGTGGTGGCGGGAGTGGGGGCGCTAGTGGCGGCAGTGGAGGCGGAGGAGGCGGCGGTGGTGGCGGTGCGAGCGGAGGTGGTGGAGGTGGAGGCGGTGGTGGAGGTAGCGGCGGCGGAGGTGGAGCTGGTCGGGGCAGCTCTTCGCAGCGGGTCGGCTCCGGCGGTGGTCAGCGCCAGCAGCCGCAGCAGCAGCAGCGCACTCGTGAGACCCCTTCCCCTCTGCAGCTTCGTGAGTGGTACACTGCTCGTCAGCGGGGTGGGGGTGCTGGCCCCTGTACCTACGTTCTGCGTACAGGCGACCGCGCGGGTGAGCAGTGTGGGGGTCTGCACTCCACCCAGCGCTGCTTCGGCCGCCTGACGGACGCTTGGCGTCATCAATTCCCCGACGCTACTGAGATCCCTCGCTGGGGCGAGCTGTCTAGGGCGGGTGTTGCGATCTTTGATCTTGATTATGATGCTATTCTTGCTGCAATGTATTCTGTGACTATTAGTGATGAGGGTGACTGTTACCGGTGTTTTCCGCCTGACCCGGGCATTGAGGCTGCTGCTCTAGGTGCTAGTGCGTCTGCTGCTCCAGGTGCTAGTGAGTCTGCTGCCCCAGGTGCTGGTGAGTCTGCGCTCTCAGGTACCGCGTCGTCTCCGGCCACCCACACTTTCACCCTTGACTCGGGTGGTTCCCGCTCCTTCTTTCGAGACCGCACCACGCTTACGCCGCTTAGTCGGCCAGTGGCAGTCTCCCTGGCAGACCCCTCTGGGGTTCCTGTCCTTGCCCACTTCTCCACTGTCTTACCGTGTCCGGCGGCCCCTTCTGGCACCCTGTCGGGTCTTTACCTCCCCTCGTTCTCTACGAACTTGGTGAGTGGTGCTGACGTGCAGGATGGAGGGGTTCACCAGTTCACTCCTGCGAGTCAGCGAGTGACCCACTGTACCTGTGCTCGGATGGGCCGTCACTTGGCCACGTTTACCCGTCAGCCGGGGTCGAGCCTGTACACACTGACTACTGAGTCTCCTCCGGTCGCTGAGTCTGCTCAGGTAGCCGCGTCGGGTCAGGTGTTTGCTGCGGCGTCCAGGTCTGGTCCTGAGTCTGCCCCCTGCTCGAGTCGTCTCCTGTCTCACCAGACACTCCTCTGGCACCACCGCCTTGGTCACCCCTCCCTGCCTCGTCTTCGAGGCATGGCCTCCCGTGTCCTTGTCTCTGGTCTCCCCCGGTCCCTCCCTCCCCTTCCTCCGGGGCCTGCCCCCACCTGCGTTCCCTGCGTCGAGGGACGGCAGCGCGCTGCTCCTCACTCCTCCGAGTTTCCTCCGACAGAGGCTCCACTGCAGACGCTTCACATGGACGTGTGGGGCCCAGCCCGCGTCCGTGGACAGGGTCACGAGCGTTACTTCCTGCTGGTGGTTGACGACTACTCGCGTTACACCGCGGTCTTCCCCTTGCGCAGCAAGGGTGAGGTCACTGAGGTGTTGATCTCCTGGATCCGCGCAGCCCGTCTCCAGCTCAGAGAGAGTTTCGGCTCGGACTTTCCTGTTCTGCGCCTGCACTCTGACAGAGGCGGAGAGTTCTCCTCTGACCTTCTGCGAGCCTTCTGTCGTGCACGAGGCATCCGCCAGACCTTCACGCTTCCGGACTCTCCGCAGCAAAATGGGATTGCCGAGCGCCGCATTGGCATGGTCATGGACGTCGCTCGTACGTCCATGGTTCATGTGGCCGCCCCCCATTTTCTGTGGCCATTCGCGGTTCGGTACGCGGCGCATCAGCTCAACCTTCAGCCCCGGGTCTCCATGCCGGAGACCTCCCCTGCTTTGCTGTGGACGGGGAAGGTTGGCGATGCGTCTGCGTTCCGTGTCTGGGGATCTCGGGCGTTTGTCCGCGACTTGTCTGCGGACAAGCTGTCCCCTCGTGCTGTTCCCTGCGTCTTTCTTGGCTTCCCCCCTAACGCGCCGGGCTGGCAGTTCTACCACCCCACCTCGCGTCGTGTTCTGTCCTCTCAGGACGTCACGTTTGACGAGTCGGTTCCCTACTACCGTCTCTTCCCATACCGCACTGCGTCCCTCCTCCCCCCGCCGCTCTTCCTTACGCCAGGTCCCCCTCCGGTAGACCCTCTCCCCCCTCAGGGTCCTGCCCCCTCAGGTGTGTCTCAGGTAGACGCAGTCGACCCTGTCGAGGTTGTCGCGATATATATTTATATATGTTTATAACTGCCTGTAGCTTTAGCTTTAGTGTAGTTATGTTTCTTTGTTGTGGTGGTGCACCTCTTTGTTTCTTTGCTATATGTTCTTGCAAACCTATAGTGAAGACACACATTCTCGATTCTCTCTTGGCACAACTCCCTCGACACCCGCTTGGCCTAGGCTACTAAGCCTAGGCCCTTAGTTAAACCCGTTCCTAGCTAAGTTCGTCTCGTGACATGGTAACAGAGTGGTCCGTCCTAGGACCTATTTCGTTTATGGGCCCACCACATTTCGCGACTGCTACAGTTAGTGGCGCGAAATCCGCACCTTGCGTATCTTTTTTTTTTCCCTGCTGCTCGCGCTGCCCCCCGTCGCCTGCCTCGTCGCGGCTCTCAGCGCGACGGGCGCGGCAGACGCTATGGCGAACGCCAGCGGACCCGCCGCCAGCGACCCGCCAGCGAAGTCGCCAGCGAAGTCGCCAGCGGCCCGCGATCGCGTTTGCGCCATCGACTGCAGCCAGCGCCACCTTGCACCTCGCCCGTCGCACCGGCGGTCGCTGTGGGGGGGAGAGGGAAGAAGGGATGGGAGTGGCGGCGGAACTCTGTGGGGGCGAGAGGGAAGAGGGGATAGGAGTGACGGGGGAACGCCAGCGACGATCGCCAGAGCACTGGCGATCGCCCCAGCCGCTCATTCGCCCGCTCTTCCCGTCGCATTCCCCCCGCCCCCTGCCCGTCACCCCCCCCCCCGTCGCGACTGTTTGCGTGTGCAGCGGCGGTCGCCATGGGGAGGAGAGGGAGGAGGGGAAGGGAGTGGCGGTGGGACGCTGTGGAAAGGAGAGAGAGGAGGGGAAGGGAGTGGTGGCGGAACAGCACCAGCGCCAGCCGCCAGCACCAGGAACCAGCACCAGCGCCAGCCGCCAGCACCAGGAACCAGCCCCAGCGCCAGCCGCCAGCACCAGGAACCAGCCCCAGCGCCAGCCGCCAGCACCAGGAACCAGCCCCAGCGCCAGTCGCCAGCACCAGGAACCAGCCCCAGCGCCGGCCGCCAGCACCAGGAACCAGCCCCAGTGCCAGCCGCCAGCACCAGGAACCAGCACCAGCGCCAGCCGCCAGCACCAGGAACCAGCCCCAGCGCCAGCCGCCAGCATCAGGAACCAGCCCCAGTGCCAGCTGCCAGCACCAGGAACCAGCACCAGCGCCAGCCGCCAGCACCAGCACCAGCAACCCCACCTGTGACCAGCAGCCCCACCTGTGACCAGCAGCCCCACCTGTGACCAGCAGCCCCACCTATGACCAGCAGCCCCACCTGTGACCAGCAGCCCCACCTGTGACCAGCAGCCCCACCTGTGACCAGCAGCCCCACCTGTGACCAGTAGCCCTACCTGTGACCAGCAGCCCCACCTGTGACCAGCAGCCCCACCTGTGACCAGCAGCCCCACCTGTGACCAGCAGCCCCACCTGTGACCAGCAGCCCCACCTGTGACCAGCAGCCCCACCTGTGCCCAGCAGCCCACCTGTGAAAGACTGTACAGGGACCATCGTGGGTTGGGAGAGGTATGGAGGAAGACAGGGGTGGAGGGAGTGCGGTTCCAGGGGGCGACTGAAATGGGGGGTGAGGTTGAGGGCGGGTGGTTGGTTGGGGGTGGGGATGTGGGGGTTAGTAAGAGGGGACGCTGCGGCCACCCCCCCACCTCTTCTCCTCATCCCCCACTCAACCCCCCCTTTCGTAAAAGGGGGTTAGTAAGAGGGGACGCTGCGGCCACCCCCCACCTCCTCTCCTCATCCCCCACTCACCTCCTCCTGTGTTCTTATCTATTCTCCTCTCCTCTCTTCCTCTTGCCTCCTCCTCCTCACGTACCCCTCTGCCATCTCCCACCGCACCTGCCCCTTCAGGGGGTGTGACTTGCTCTAGCTATGTGCTGCAGGCAGTTAAGGGGGTGTGTCGCGATATATATTTATATATGTTTATAACTGCCTGTAGCTTTAGCTTTAGTGTAGTTATGTTTCTTTGTTGTGGTGGTGCACCTCTTTGTTTCTTTGCTATATGTTCTTGCAAACCTATAGTGAAGACACACATTCTCGATTCTCTCTTGGCACAACTCCCTCGACACCCGCTTGGCCTAGGCTACTAAGCCTAGGCCCTTAGTTAAACCCGTTCCTAGCTACTAGGGGTGCTGGTTCTGGGGGTGCTGAGCCTGGGGGTGCTACGCCTGGGGGTGCTGAGCCTGAGGGTGCTGACTCTGGGGGTGCTGCGCCTGGGGGTGCTGCGCCTGGGGGTGCTACGCCTGGGGGTGCTGCGCCTGGGGGTGCTGAGCCTGAGGGTGCTGCGTCTGGGGGTGCGGAGTCTGAGGGTACTGGACCTACTCGTGTGGCGTCTGGCGGTGCTGGGCCTGGAGTTTCTTCGGGTACTTCGTCCCGGCGGGAGCTACTCTCTCCACACGAGCTGCGTGAGTGGTTTGCCCGGCGCTGGAGGCGAGCTGCTGGAGCTGGAGGTGCTGCGGGTGCTGGAGGTTCTGCTGCTGCTGAGGGTGCTGGTGCCGCGGGTCCCGGAGGTGCTCGTACTGGGAGTACTGGAGCTGCTGGGCCTGCGGGTGCTTCTCGTACTGAGCTGGTGGTGCTGCGGGCGTCGGTACTACCGAGGGTGCTGGAGCTGGACCCGCTACGTCTTCCGGTGGTCCGGCTGGAGCTGGAGCTGCTGAGGGTGTTGGCGCTGAGGGTGCCTCTGAGGGTACTGGAGTTGGCGCTGCTGGAGCTGGGGGTGATGCTGGCGCTGGTGCTGTCGTTCGGGGTGCTGGTGCTGTCCCTTCTGGTGCTGGTGGTGCTGAGCTGCCGCGGCCGTACTTCGTTCCGCTCCTTGAGCAGGTTCTTGGTCTTCCGCCCTCTGCTAGTCCGGTTCCTCCCTTAGAGTGTCCACCGCCTGTCCAGTCCGAGCCACAGTTACAGCCTACCTCTCCTCTGCCTGCTCCTCCCTACTCGGGTCCTACTGGAGGTCTTGCTGAGCGTCGTGAGCCTGCGTCTCGTCCTGCGTCGCCTGTCCGTGCTGAGCGCACTAGTAGTCGTGGTTCGCGTCAGCGTCCTCCCCCTGTCCCAGGCACGCACCGGATGTCTCTGTGTCCCTCCACTGCTCCGTTGCGTGCCCCTTTGCTTTCTCCTCCTGAGTCCTCTCTTCCTGTTCTTGCTGACCCGGAGTCGGACTCCCTTCGTGCTGCCAGTCCTACTGTCACGCGTCTCCTTGCTACTGTCGTCACTGACCCTTCCTTTGAGTCCGCTGCTGCGTCTGCCTTAGTTTCTGAGCTTGTCGACTTCGCTGCTCGCTGTCGCATCGACTACGCTGCTAGTCTTGTCGCTGAGTCTGCGTCTGTCTGTCCTCCGTCCGTCGGGGGTGAGTGTGCCCTTGGCACGGACGTCCTTGAGGACAGGCAGGAGGAGTTCCAGTGCTTTGCTGCTGCTTCACCTCATCTTGTGTCCATGCTACTTGCCCCTGAGTGAGACCCGGATGCACTAGACATCCCGACTCCGCGCTCTAACGCGGAGGCGATAGAGGGTCCCTACTCCTCTCAGTGGCAGGCAGCCATGGATGCAGAGATGGCTTCCTGGAAGTCCACAGGCACCTACGTCGACGAGGTTCCCCCTCCTGGGGCGAACATCGTCAGTGGCATGTGGATTTTCAGGGTGAAGCGGCCGCCGGGTTCTCCGCCTATCTTCAAGGCGCGTTACGTGGCTCGTGGCTTCAGTCAGCGGCAGGGAGTTGACTACTTTCAGACCTTCTCTCCCACCCCGAAGATGACCACTCTTCGGGTACTACTGCACATAGCCGCTCACCGTGACTACGAGCTTCACTCTCTTGACTTCAGCACTGCTTTCTTGCAGGGGAGCCTGCACGAGGAGATCTGGCTGCACCGTCCACCTGGCTTCACTGGGTCTTTTCCTCCTGGTACCCAGTGGAGCCTCCAGCGGCCAGTCTACGGTCTCCGCCATGCACCTCGTGAGTGGCACGACACACTGAGGACTACACTTGCGGCTCTTGGGTTTGCTCCTTCTACTGCCGACCCGTCGCTGTTTCTGCGCAACGACACTTCTTTGCCGCCGTTCTACATCCTCGTGTACGTCGACGACTTGGTCTTTGCCACAGCTGACACTGCTGGACTCGCCCACGTGAAGTCCGAGCTGCAGAAGAGACACACGTGCACAGACCTGGGTGAACTGCACAGCTACCTTGGCTTGCAGATCACCCGGGACAGAGCACAGCGCACCAGTACCCTGACTCAGTCACACATGGTGCAGCAGGTCCTTCAGCGCTTCGGCTTCACGTACTCCTCGCCTCAGGCCACTCCTCTGTCTACTCGCCACTCGCTCTCAGCTCTGCCTTCGGATGAGTCCGTAGAGTCGAGTGGCCCGTACCCAGAGCTTGTTGGCTGCCTCATGTACCTGATGACCTGCACTCGACCTGACCTTGCATACCCTCTTAGCATTCTGGCACGCTATGTTGTTCCTGGGAGACACAGACCAGAGCACATGGCTGCAGCGAAGAGGGTGTTGCGCTACTTGTGCAGTACGTCGGGCATGGGGCTTGTGCTTGGAGGGTGGAGTCCAGTGGTCCTCACTGGTCACGCAGACGCTTCTTGGGCTGACGACCAGGCTACACAGCGGTCGTCACAGGGCTACACCTTCAGCCTTGGTTCCGGCTCTGTTTCGTGGCAGTCTACCCGCTCGTCTTCTGTTCTCGGCTCCAGTTGTGAGGCTGAGATCTACGCGGGGGCCATGGCTGCACAGGAGCTACGCTGGCTCACCTACCTACTGAGTGACCTTGGAGAGCCGCCTCGTTCGTCTCCAGTTCTGTACGTAGACAACAAGGCCATGCTGGCCTTGTGTCGAGAGCACAGACTGGAGCACAGAACGAAGCACATTGCTCTTCGCTACTTCCTTGCTCGTGAGCTGCAGCAGCGTGGTCAGCTACGACTTGCTTACGTGGCCTCTCAGGCCAACACTGCTGATATCTTCACCAAGGCACTCGCGCCTTGTGATCATCAGCGCTTCTGTACTTTGTTAGGTCTTGTACCTACTTTGCCTCACTTGCTCACTTCTTGACCTTGCTTGTACTGTGACCTATATATACTTGCACTTGCATGTTTAGCTTTATATATATATGCTTGCATGTGAACTGACCTTGTGGCCCTTGAACTTGTGCTCAGAATGTGTGGTGACGTTGGGATCCACCCTGAGCTTGCTGTGCTTTGCTTGACTGGTCTTGTGACCCCTTGTTCTCCCCCACTTTGCCTATGGGGGTGTGTCGAACTTATATGCTATAGTCTTTCTAGGCTGTAGTGGGGTAGACAGTATGGGGTACAGCTTTCTAGGGTTTCATATTTGTACCCAACTCATTTCCTAGTTCACTCATTCCTCATTTCTTCACAGGAACCACGGCGCGGGCAGTGCCGTGGCAGGGCAGGCAGGAGAGGACGCGGACGACCTTCCAGCGCAGCCGCCGCCCAAGGGCGAGGCACAGGTGGCCCTGATGATCGCGGCGCGGGTGAAGGACGTGCGAGACAAGCTCGAGTCGCAAGTGAAGGGATTGAAGGAGCAGTTGGAGGCGGAGAGAGCGGAGGCGAGGGACGCGGCGAGCGAGCTGAGAGACGCGGCGAGGGAGGTGGATAAGCGGGAGGCGGCGGAAATAGCGGACGTGCGAGCGACAGTGTCGCACATTGAGGCGCGGATGAACGATGTGGAGCTGGCGGTGGCGGAGGGGAAGAGCGCGCGGGAGAAGCCGCGCGCGGAGCGCAGCGACGGCAGCGACAGGAGCGTGAAGAAGCATGCAGAGGCGAAGGAACGCGAGGGGAAGAAGAAGAAGAGGGAGGTCAAAGGGGATGAGCTGGCAGAACGTGGTGGTGCTGCGGACGACGATGCATCGCACGAAGAACTGTGGCTTCCAGCAATTAGCTGGAAGCCTTCCCGGTGACTCCCGATTTCGCGGGTCTTGTCAGTCTGCTTTCAATGCGGGGGGTAATTGTGGGGCAACAGAACCACCCTGCAGTCAACCTGCGCAGTGCCGAAACCAACCTGCGAGGCGACTGCATTGTGTAAATTGCGCATCGCATGTCAGTTGGGGCGAGCAAATCGAATTTGTTACCTTCGTATTCGAAAAGAAGGCCCTCGCACATGCGAGTCTCGAAAAGTTGGGTGTAACAACAGTCGTAACAGTTTTGAGATTGTTGGTTACCATGTGATCACCGTAATTGTTTTTAGATATTTGTTCCTCAATAGAAAGGTGACAAAGCAAGTATCTTTAATTGAGATAACTACACTGTAAACGAGCTGAACAATTTAAACCTCTAGCTATAAAAATCTACATTAACTAAAATCAATTGTAAAAAATTATTACCCAGGAAGAAAATAAATTTGTACTATTGATCAATAAACGCTAGCAAATAATAATGGTTAAAAATTAGGAATCAAAAAGTCACCTAAACTAAACTAAATCTACGTCCGCTACACCTAAATCAAGCTCCTAGATATCCTCTACAATCTGTCATTCCTTAACAATAACATCTCCGAAGTAGTAAAACCCACTTACTAACGGGATGCTTGCACGACGGACCCAGCACTCAACCTGGGCCCTCCTCTTGTCCATCTCGCGGGTGTTGTTCTCGGAATCAGAAAACATGCTGCTTCGGTCACGAGACAGCATCTCAAACTCCACCTGCCAAGCAAAACAAGTGCAATTAAATTAAATGGTAAATAACAAAACAATTAATATTGAAGCAAAGAAACTCACCGCGACCATTGAATAGCAAAGTTGATCAATGCTGAGGGAGAAGACACCACCCTCTTTCTTCTGCCACTTGCTCGCAACAGCTAAAAATGCCTCGCTACAGAACGGCTTTTCCTCCACAGCATGCCATGCAGGGCTGACGTTTAGAAAAAAACCACTATGAGGTAGGGGAGAAAAAAAAATCGTTTAGTCTGAGGGTCATTTCCCAAGTTTTGAGTTCTCTGAAATGTCAGGTTTGAAAAAATCATTAGTCTAAAAAGTTTTAAGTTTGTAAAACCGCATCCGAGTTGGTTAATAGCGAATATCTGTCAAGCGAGTTTGACCTAGGGAAAACGTTGCGGAGTTGGCGAGAAGCAGGAGTAAGAGGGGGCGGGGGAAGGGGGAGGGGGGAGGGGGGCAGGGGGGGAATTGAATGTAATTCGAGAGAGGGGGAGGGGGGAGGACTGAAATTCGGCAATTTCAGGGGCCATACTCCTTATAGTCTCGAGTCTCAGTATCGCACAATGAAGTATTCGGAAATTTTCAGAGTTGAAAACTAACAGGTCTGAGGCCTTTAGAGTTCAAAATACAGGAATACTGAATTTTCAGGAAAGGCGAAAAAAAGAGTATGAGATTTCAGACAATCAGACTAAAATAGTCTGATAAAATCAGCCCTGATGCCACGGCAGGCCAAACTCCTCTGCACAAAAGGAACAGAAGTGGTGAGACACCAGTAATAACGAGAGCAGTGGCAAACAGAGTACACGTACCAGAGACGCAGGATCGCGCATAAAAGCGCCGATCGTCAACGGAGTCTTTCACTGCTTTGCCGTCAGGGTACTTCAGCAGCTTGAAACTAGCCTTCCGAGACTTGTTACCGAGTTTCCCCCGCCGGCAGTTGCAAATTTCGGTGCACCTCTTCGCCCACTCGCCTTTCTTCTAGAAGTCCTTGAATTTCTCGAAGTCTTCGGGCTCCAGGGCGAGGTGCAACACAACGCCCGCCTTGAATTGGTCTTCGTCGGGGTAAATGACATGCGCGGAGATGTCAGGGCCCTTAAGCAGATCATCGCAGGCCTTCATGCAAGCACGGTTACTAGAAAGTTTTAGAACTAACAGGAAATAACAACCAAACCAAAGAAAAACATGAAACTTACCTCCATAGTTTTCTCATTGCACCAACTTGGTTGGTGAACAATCTCGAGAAGATTCTTCACAGTTTTAGCCCGTGTCTGATGGATCTCATCCGATACACAAAGCCCGTTTTCAATTCGCAGCATCAGAGTGCGAACTTCTTTCAGCTCGTCGCGAATGGCAGCGTCGATGTGGTTATACGAGTTGGCCTCGGGGTGATGAACATCACGATCTGACAAGCGCACGCCTGAAAACAAAAGGGAGATTTAATTATAGCATAATGTTATGAAACTTAACTATTCATAACAAGGCCGGCTGAAACAGCAGCGAAGAAAACATTGACATAAACAGACGAGTACTTGTCAGAGGTCCATTGGTGATCCCCGATTGATCCTAGGGAAGGGTTACAGGCTCGTTGTCCTGGGAGGTTATGGGCGCACTGACCCGCTACTTAACAAGCCCTTTTATCCCAATGGTCTAGTGGTTGGGATTCTGACATGGTATCAGAGCAAAGGTCACGGGTTCGAATCCCAGTGTGTGCACTTCGGGCATCCCAGTGCGGGGGGGTGTTAGAGGTCCACTGGTGATCCCCGATTGATCCTAGGGAAGGGTTACAGGCTCGTTGTCCTGGGGGGTTATGGGCGCACTGACCCGCTACTTAACAAGCCCTTTTATCCCAATGGTCTAGTGGTTGGGATTCTGACAGTACTCAGTAAAACGTACCGCCAGTTCCAGCAGATGCGATGACATTTGCCGCCGCACTACGTTGCGCTACCGGTAAGGTAGCGTTCGAAGCGTCGTGAGGAGAGGCGACTCCATTGTCCGCGGTGTGCTCGGCATCAAGTGCCTCAAGGTCTTGCAGAGGCGGGGGGTCCGCAGGCCGAGCGCTCGGGGTACCCATCTGCTGGGCAGGAGTTGAAGTTCTCCGAGCTCCTGTGGTTGGGCTACCCAGCTTGTAACCTTCGAGACGCCTATTCGAGGTTCGGGATCTCTTGCGCTGCAACTCTATAATTTCTGCAGGCACGCCTAACGCCATGTTTCCTAAAGTGCCCACTAACAGACATAGGGCACGTAGATGAAAAAGAGGCAAAAAATAGTGGGACTAGGTGGAAGTTTGGGAATGAGAAGAAGCTCGGCTGGTTGGAAACAAGGACCACCTGCTCTGGTTGGAGACGAGATGAGTAGCACAGGAGTTTGGAACAGGACTATGAGGCATGTTTATATGGGTAGTGTTGACAGCGTAAAGGTTCACCCCGAGCTATTTCACAAGCCAAATATTACACCCTTCCCACACTTTGCGAGAGCAGTAGAGCAAACCCTTCACCACGGACTTAAATCGAGGACCCACGGGAAATGGACCAGAACGTTAAACGCTAGTACGCGAGAAAGAAATATCGCATAACTTTGTTTCGAGTCGTTTAGATAAGTACCGAACAGCACTACACCCAACATAGGAAGTCAAATAATCAAAAGGTGCTTTGATTCTGCTTTCGAAACGAATGAGTCCTTCAAATACGCCAAAACACTGTACACGTCGGTGCTGTGTGTACCAGCCATAACAACGCGACAATTGCGCCGCTGAACAACGAACTATTCAGCGACCAAGGACAGGGCAACATGTTCAATGACATGGATGTTTCCACGAGTGGAAGTGAGGCATGAAAGTCGAACAAATGAGAGGCTTGTGCCTGCGAAGCTGGCAACATTGTCGAAGTCACTAGAAGGCTGGCAGCTGCCGGTGACGTCATGGGAAGCTGGCACGAACAATCCATTTCAAGCGTGCATTGAGCCAGACAAAACTAAAACAAGGGAACAGTGGACACAGCACAGCTGGCAGCCAACCGTGCGTTAGCTAGCGAGGCAGGAAAGGCTGCCCAGTTGCGCGACAGAATGCCAGCAGGCAAATGTGTAATGATTACTGGCATGGCGCAATATTGCCAACAACGCACGGGTGAAGTGTGAGAGGTCCAATCGAGACAAGGGTTAAGAGGGGATATATAGTTGTTTCGTTTCAACATGTGATGCTTACAAAATTCGAAGTACAAAGCTGATTGTGTTATGTCATTTGTTTATTAATGAAATTTGAACTTGTTCATCACAAAGAGCCCATCACTAACCGAAACCATATGAGCTACGCACAGAATGTTATCAAGCTCAAGCAGTTGGTACTCATTATCACCTGCTTCCCATGCATACACCGGACATTTTGATGCGTGCACCGCACCAATGGCTCTGAAATAGCGGACAAATGCGTAGGCGCGCTTGGAAAACGCCTTTGTCTCTGGCGTGTACACGTCGATGGTAAACAACAGCAGCAGCCTTGCATACCATATCACCTTACACTTTGTCGTCTCACCTCCTGCAGCCTCAACCACCTCTTCACCAAGCACATCTACATCGTTGAACAATGGTTTGTCGCCGAAAGACGTGCACGCTCGCACATAATGAGTCTGACTGGAGTACTTGGTGAAATCCTCGTCGCCGGGAATAGCCATGCCGTTCTTCACACGTATGGTACCATTCAGTACCTCGCCTTCCTCTGCTTTGCCTTCCAACAGCCCCGCGAGCTTGGTCATGTCACCCGGCGTGACCAACGCATGCGCTTTCCACTTGTCACACCCATCTGCAAGGCTTTCCTTCCAGCTTACACTGAAGCTGGTGGCTGCAAGCGTGTTGCGACCACTCTCCATAGCTTGCGAAATGCATGTGCATTTAAAAATGGGCGTAAAAAAGAATTATCGTTGTTAATGCAATGTCGAATACATACTCCGAAACACGTTTCAACATGACTTGAAGCTTCATCCTCACAAGACATAATCCCAGTTATGCACACATGCCCACGCATTCATACACCCTCACACATGCACACAGACATCCATACACATATGTACACAAACATCCACACACACACACATGTGAAGAATGAGGAATGAATAACTAGCAAGCAGGTGGGTACAAGTAGGAAACCTAGAAATGTTGTACCCTATAGTGTCTACCCCACTACAGCCTAGATAGACCATAGCATATAAGTTTGACACACCCCCATAGGCAAAGTGGGGAAGAACAAGAGGTCAGAA